TAATTAAGTTCAATTTAATAAACTAAAATACTGCTTTAGCAGGATGAGCTTCCTCCTCAGATATGATGAAACCATAGTTGGTCTTTTGAAGGAACATTTATCTCTCGCTCCCATTCCAAGTGAGATTTATCTACCCTGTCACCAGAGAGTATTGGTTTTAATGATTCCAAGAAAAACAAATCATATTATTTAAATGGAAGGTTTGCAAAACATCCATATGCCAGAAGTGTCTGGATGTTTTAAATGAAAAGCAACAGAACATAAAAGATCAGTTTACAAACTGCAGTAATGATATAAGAAAAACAGCTTTTGGAAAAACATTAAATACAAAATATTAGGGGAGAAATACCCATAATAAGTAAGGTAAATCATAAATACAACGAAGAAGCTAAATTTATCATGTAGCATGAGGGGACCTGTTCCTCCGTGACCTCTGACCTTCACTCATCTCATCCAGCAGCTGTTCTGTGTAAAAACTCTTTCTGTTGACTGAATCACTGTTATCGTGTTAAATAAGTTGTTTTCAATATAATCAGAGTTCTTACTCTTCTTTTAAGGCTAAGAAAAAACATGATTTCTTTAGAGATTACCATATTTTCTGCCGTACACTTCGCATCAATCCAAAAATTTCTAATAAAGTGGGAAAAAAACATAAATAAGTCGCATCTATTATGTGTCACCGCTGACCAGCTGGAAACATGGGCCGGTGTTGTGCCAAAAATCGATTGGCTGCCAAATGGTGGCTGCTGGAGCCTGCACGGGAGGACTTTAGCAAGAATTTAACAATATTAACACTTAAAAACAATTATATGTTTGCTCAAAATTATAGCAAAGTTGTGTTTCAGTTTAACTTTTGCTTAATAAATGCACTTTGACAGTGCATTTCAAAAGCCGATTCGCGGAAGCAGGAACGCACAGAGGGATGACTCGCTGTGCATTTGTTTGCAATTTAACAAGATAACCACCTAAAAACAATTTGTTGGCTCGAAATTATAGTAAAGGTATCTCTCAGTTTAACGTTTCCTTAATAAATGCACTTTAATGATAAATCAGCTACATTTCACCTGGGCAGCGCGGTGAAATGTAGCTGATTTGACGTTTGCTCCAGGAGTTCTTGAGCGAGACGAAGGTGGCTTTGTATGGCAAGCCAAGTGTCTCATTAATAGCCAATTTTACCTCTTAATGAGACACTTGGCTTGCCATATTACTCGAGTGCTCTCTAGTGGCTGAAAATGGTAATGTTCAACATTTTCCATGTCAGAATGAATGAAATCATCAGATCTCAGCCAAAAATTAAGTTATAACTATGGGGGGAAACATAAATGCGTTGCTTCGTTGTATAAGTCACAGGCATGCTGAATTATGCAAGAAAAAAACTGTGACTTATACAGCGAAAATTACGGTAGATGTTTTCTTTAATTGTGAAATCTTTTGAAATGTGTTGAAAGATGAAAATTAATATGAATGAACATAATTAATCAAGTAGGTCAACAAATTTTATCATTTTTGGTCATTACATGGGACAGTCTAGTGATCCTGCTAAAACAACCTGTTTTAAACTGCTGCTTCTGTGCAGACGCTTATTAGAATCGGAATATCAGACAATAAATGGATCTCTCGTCACTTCTGATAAAGAACTGGAAGGACCTTGGTTAGGCCAATCCCTGCGCTCAGAGTGTTTGGTTTTTGACGTAGCCAGGAAGTCACTCTTTCACAGCCTTTTTGAAAGGATGGATTCTGCAGGGTTTTTTCATGCAGTTCATGGGTAATGCAAACGTTGCTCTAGTCAACAAGTTTAAAAAGCATGTTTGGGCTCACAGCAATCAATCACAGGTATGGCACTAAAACCTTATATTTTATCTAAATACTGACTGACTTTCATGACATTTGATGCTGACAATGTGGTTTTTGAGACCCAAACATGACAACGATTAATGTCACAGCTGATGCAAAAGATGGAAGTTGATTTATCACTGGTCCCTGATTAATCGCTTAGTTCCATCAAGTTGGACTATTAGTGCCCATTTCCTTTAAATCATAGTTCTAGAATAGATCATATGGTTTATGGCTCTTAATTAATTATTAAATGAATTAATAATTAAGATAGGTAGCCAATGTTAAGAACAGGTCATTTCCTACTTCTCCTGAAAATTCCATCCATTAATCTTAAGAAATAAGGAAGTTATATTGATTTGTTTTGTTGTAGGTCAATCACAAGCTTTGGGGCTTTCAATGTTAGACCAAAGTAACAAGTCGTGTTTCTAGACTAAAACTGCCATAACTTCCTGGTGTTTTCTTCATTGCAGACAGTCTTGGTGTTAATCTCTTTGCTTTGTCAAGTTCTATCTATCCATTGTATTTATAAAAAGAATATGTCATGGACGTAAATTGTTTTTTGTCTCCTTCCTACCTTGACTCGTCTGCCTTTGTCTTTGTTCGTCGTCCTCTCCTCTCCTTTCAACTCCCCTCGTCACATTTCACATTTGTTTTGTAGTGTTCAGCAGTAGAAAGAACAATTTGTAACTTTTTTTTTGCAAAGAGTCAATAAAAAAAAAAAAACTCTCCCACCTCCAAATCCAAACTTCATCATCTGAAGAATTTTAGACCATTCCTCAAAGCCAGATGTGGACAACATATGGCCAGAGGGCCAAAAGTGGCCCTGGACAATCTCAATCTGAAAAGAGAACAACTTTTAAATTAGTTGATGAAAATCTGCATTTTATCAAACTTGAAGCATAAATCGAACATCTCGGGCAAATACGACAAAAACATTGAGCTTAAAATAGGCTAACACTTTTTTCTGTTGTGTTTTCAGAACTAGACTAAAACTTAAAGAATGCAAAAAACTAACATATACAGTATGTAGGTATGT